AAAACATGACACGATTTGGATGTTTCAGTGCTATCTCTTTGAACACTTTTGGCACCGATTTGTTGTGTTTCTTGCAGTCCCATAGGAAGAGCTTCGCCCGCAATAGGATATAACCGGCCCTTCAATTTATACAACAAATATGATATTTTAATATTTTTATTTCTTGTAATTTGTAATAATTTATTGAATAGTATTTGTAATTAAATATTATTGATGTTAAAGCCAAAATGATTTTTAGTGTTAACTATTTTAGTAAAATATTTAATTAAATTTATATTTATTTTTAATTTAAGAAGAAAACGACACGAAATGATGGTCTCATTTGTTGTCTTAAGACATTTGCGGAATAAATGTTTAGTTAAATAAATATTTATTTTTTATACACGTGTTTGTTCTCGATATCAAGGGAAATGTTATATAACTTTATATTAGTTAGAGATTCATAAATAAATTTCTAATAAATTTAACGTTTGTTTTTCTTATGGTTTGTGTTTTTAATAAGTTTTTTTCTCATGAAAAAAGTTTATAATTTATGCACTGATTATAAATGACTTTCCTCTTTAACTGATCGTAAAATACAAAAACGCATAAAACTATACTATATTTGATAAACAGTTTAATTAACCATTCATTCAAACACAATGTGTTTATTATGTTTTATATGTAATATTAATTGAAGAAAATCTAAATAGAATTAATTGAACGGAAAGTAACAATTTGTAAATAGAAACATTCCACAAAAATAATAATAAAAGTTATTTCCTGATTATTTAAATGTATACAAATAAATCTTGAATTGGTTTTATTGAAAAGTAATTTTAAAATATATTTAAGTGTTTTAATATAAGTCAATGTCTGCAACAATGCAATCATGAAATTATTTTTATATAAATTTTTACTTTCAATTAAATGAAATTATATGAAGTGAATGTTATCTCAGGTATTAATCTAATGAGTAAAGCCTTGATTATTAAAAGAAAAGCTGGATTTAGTTTTATCTAGAGTTAGTATTTTTTTAGTTTATACAATATTTCTAAATTTTATCTAAAACTAAATGATTTCAAACATTATATATTTTAATTATACAACGATAGGGACTCTTAATGTATAACATAAATTAATTATTCAATAGGTATTTAACACAGGATTTTTACTTTTAAAAATCACATTTAAAATGATAATTTAATATTAATCTAGTAATAATTCAGCGATTATCAAATGGCAGAACTAAAACCTTATAGTAAAGTGCATGTAACTTTTTAACTCGTTTTAAATTTAATTGACATAAATTTTATAATAGTCAATCAATGTATTTTAAATCAATTGATTTATTTTAAACTTAATTAAATGTTAAATAAATAATATTTGAATTATCTTGCATAATTGATTATATTTATAACAGTAACCATGTGTTATCTAATAATTGGCACACAATTATTATTTCCCAAACGTAATTACATTTAATATATAATAAATTTGCCTTTTATTCAAAACTCTCTATTATCTTCAATGGAAGTGATTTATTAATTAAATGCAATTTTATTTAAATTATTAAATTATAACCATGTTTTGTTTAATATTAAAATTATCTCAATGTTAATTGGAAATACCTTGTGCTTAACTAAAATATCAATGTGTTATTTAACAATGTTTAATATTAAAACAAATAAATATCATGATAAATGTCTGGACGTGAAGATAAAGTAAATGCTTGAGAACTGAACTCAAGAGCATTAATCTGATAATTGTTACCATAAATTGCTATTAAAGGTTTAATAATAAACTTTCCTTAAGATTGAACACAATGTTATGTTCAATAGGACGGAACCAATGAAACCATTTTCACAATTAAAGCAATTAATGATTGAATTATAATAAATAGTCAACATTTAATGATACGTTTATAAGCAATAATTATGGGTTTTGGGAAAATTCAGTTTTTGTTTGAGTAGAAATTTCGTGATAAAATCCAATGTTTCCGAGAAATCCTGATTTTAAATACATTTTTATGTTATATTTAAATAATAAAAATCAAAACAACTCACACACAGCGATGGTATACGTTAACCACAATTCTTGTTATACTCAATAGATCCCATAGACTTATTAATCTCATTGAGTCTCATAATTCCATAGAATTAGCATTACCCATGTTAAACCAATGACATAGACTTAAGCTGTAATTCCATAGAAACCCATGTTAAATCATTTTCCCATAGACTTAACATTAGTCCCATAGGATTAACATGGAAAAACTACCCTGTCCCTTCATACTTCGCTTTTTCATAGGAAATTCACTGTTAAGTCCCATAGGGTGGGGAAGCTGGGGGAGGGGGGCCGAACGACCCTCTAAAGTTTAGAGTCTAAACCATATTATTCACGGCTGAATTGTGGTTAAAAATTATCACTTAAAAGCAGTGAAAAATCTATTAGTTTTATATTAATGGTTTTGAAAAACAAAATTCAAATCATTTAACTCAATAAGCAATATAAATGCATAAACATTGCAAAAACAAATTGGGAAAATCCCTACATATAAAGATTGATGCCTTCATAGAAATCGTGGGTATTTTAAACAAAAATATTAATTTACAATACATCTAATAGTTAACGACAAGACAATACTAATCGTGTATTGAAATGTTATATTAATTGATTAATTAATTGCAAAATTCATTGCTTCAATACATACTTAATATCGCGCGGAAATGTGAGATAAAAGTGTTTGAATGAATGCCAATAATAGTAGAAGACATAGAGGACGAGACCGGCACCGGACCCGACGGCTACCCAACAGTTTAGTTTGAGTAATAGGGCGGCGATGTTGGCCACCAGTAACGACACCAACACTAATACCATGATTATTATCAACAATATTATGTTATAATCAATTTATTATAATAATTTCTGCTCTAATAATTAGTTTTATTCGCACAATATTTAACATGCATTCAACACAATAACCAAATAATATTCAACACAATTATCATTGAACTAATTATATGTGAATTGTTCAATAAGTTATCAAAATAAATGTTTTAATGATTATTAAAACTTTTGACTTGTATTTCAAGTTTACGATATATACACGTTGAGAATAGACGAGACAATTAATAATTAAATAACAATTTATTAAACTATATATTAGTTATAATGTACAATAATGTTGGTGACTTTGAAAACACCTTTTTATAAATAGTAAAATATAAACTTTATATAATTTAATAAACAAATTATATATACTGTGCGCTAAATAAGCACTGATTTCATCGCAAATCACAACACATTTGAGTGAGAAATGAGACGAAAAGAAATGATATATAAATAGATATATTAAACAAATAATACAAATAAAAGTCACAATTAGTTATTATAGTTTGGGAACTGATTGTTGTTGTTATCGAGATATAATTGACTTCTCATTTGTGGCACTCATGTGTCGATAGTCTCTCATAGAGTCTATGATATCTCTAATACCAGTGAAGTTGTGCTGACGTATGAAAAAATTGTTTTTTACCATTCAGTCTATGGTAAAGGCCTTTAAAATACAGGCAAACAATATTCGCATACATTCACTGAATACCGGTTTTTTATTTTTAAACACAATTCAATCTATGAATAATGTGGTTTATAGGATCGTTCGGCCCCCTCCCCCAGACCCCCATCCTATGGAACTTAACATGGGATTGCATGTTAATCCTATGACATAGATTTAACATGGACTAATGTTATCCTATGGGTAATGTTAATCCTATGAGAGATTACTTCCTATGAAAAAGCGAAATATGAAAGGAAAGGGTAGTTTTTCTCCATTTTAATCCTATGGGACTAAAGTTAAGTCTATGAGAAAATGATTTAACATGCATTTTTAAGGAATTACAGCTTAAGTCTATGTCATAAATTAAACATGGGTAATGAGATGTCTATGGAACTATGAGACTAATGGTAACTCTATTGACAATGCTAATACTATGGGTAATGTTAAGTATATTAAACTCATGCTAATCTTATGGACAATACTAACTCTATGTGCAATGCTAAGGCTATTGGTAATGCCTTTCCTATTAGCTGAAGGTAAGTCTATGGGATGTGTATTGAGTATACAAATTGTGGTTAACGCATAGCATCGCTGTGTAAGCCTTGTTTCGTTGTAAAACCGGAGAGAGAGAGAGAGAGAGAGAGAGAGCACCTAAATGTAGGTTATAATTCTAGTGAAACTCATTAAATCATAATTCCTATCATATTTTCTGAAGAGACAAATCGATTAATAATAATAAATATTTAAAAATATTATTTACTATCTGTTATAAAATTGAAGAAATGGTAAGTTAGTACCGCATACAGACTATACACGTTATAAATTACGTTTTTAAGCTATCGCTATTTATATGTAAATATAGCTTATAATTTATAAGTTATAAACTAATGTTTAATTCTAAATACAAAATCAAATGGCATGTGGTTTTTTATAAGACTAAAATTTATGATCAAAAATATATACAATATATTAATTTTATATATTAAGGTTGTCATACGATATAAGGAGTTTTATTATTTTACATAAAAGTATTTGTACAATAATAATAATAATTAAAATTTTTAAAAATTTATTTTGTGAATGAATTACTGACAGAATATTAAAAGACATGTTTATTTATTTAGTATTTTGTGCAAAAATTTATTGTTGTGTAACAATCAAATCAAAAGTTGGTTTCACTTATAATATATTTGTAAATTGCAATTTAAGAAAATATTTGTGCTTAAAAGTAACAAAAAGTGATTTTAAATGTGAATAAAGCTATTTGTAAAACAAGATGTGAAGCAATTTATATAAAGATTAGGTTCTTTTATAAATACTTTTTTAAACATTAAAACTAATAACAAAGTAAAGAAAACGATTTTAGAGATAATTAACCGATTATCTAATCTTTTAATTTATTACAAATCATCTTTTAATACATAAATTTTTAGTTTAAATATATATCCATCGGATAATTAAACACATGATAACATAATGGTTATTCAGATCAGACAAATTGCCGTACACTGTATATAACATCTCGTCTTTGCCTCTCTCTCTCTCTCTCTCTCTCTCTCACTCCCAATACAACTGTCCCCTAAAACTTGTGATACAGTTTAAGATTTGTTTTGATTTTGTATAATTTATTTATCGATTTATAA